GAGTCACTCGAGTACAAGGAAGCATGCCCCCAAAGCAGTTGCGGAATATGGAGACCCTTGTTTGACAATAGAATATGTAATTCAAGGCAAGATTGTGCCCAATTTCTACTGTAACAGTATGGCTAGGTTGGCTACCTGAAGCTTCTCATACACCAGCCTAACTCCCTTATCCCGAGCTTAGTTATTCTGTACCACTGATTTGGTCTTATCATCAAGTCTCAAATCTGCCCATAAGTTTAAATTATTGGCCAAGAACCCAAAAACACTGACTGAGGTATCTCCTATCACTTTATTTTAAACTAACACAGATCTTCACCCTGTTTTTCAGAACTTTCCACATTTGCTATTAGCCTCATTACTTTAAAGCACTTAAATTCAAGATTCTTCCCCGATATCAAGGACTTGAGTGCATATAAAATTCATCTACTGATAAATATCACCAGATAAAAATAGTTTGGGGGAAAGGGACCTTATTTTTATTAAATCTTTTCATCTCAACCAGAACCAAAGCAAAAATGCAATCGAAGTAGATGCTATAGAGTTTACTAACTAAATGCTTAACAAACAAGGGACATATATGTATGGAGCAAAACCATCACTATTCTTGTTTTAAAATTTGCAGCTAGATCAATGATGCAATTGTTACCTCACAAAGAGCTACAAGCATTAAACAAGGGGAGATCTCACAGGCTTTACTTTGTATGTAATTTAATAGATGTTTCTGTCTCTGTTCATCCAGACCCTTGCAATCCACAAGCTCAATAGAAGGTGGTTCTTTTGGATACTACAACAAGAAACGAAACAAAAGTCAATTTTCTAAGTCACTTTACTACTTGTAAGGGAAACCCATTTAAAATACTAGGTGCATGTGTTTTACACTGTGCAGAAGTCAAACTCCCTCGAAGAAAACTACACAGTCCATACATATACAAAGTGAATGTGATACTTTACTCGGATCACATGCATATTTACAGCCAAAATGTACCTGTGAGGTAGCTTTTATCTCCAGAACAGCTTCCACAAACTGCAAAGAAAATGAACATAAGAAACTACTAAAAATCAGACACTTGCTCCAGTGGCAGAGCTCCACATCTAAAATCAACACCAACAGAATAAGGGGGATATAACTTTAAATCAACACCAACAATCATACACTTGTATTTAATTTTTAATACATCAGAAATCTAACTTGTTTTTACATTGTCATGTGTGTCCAATCACAGACAATCACGTGCAGTAAGATCACAGATTATTGTAACAACTACTTCAAAAGTCATACTTGTGATTTCTAACTGATTAACAATATAAAAATCTTTACACTGAAATTGCTTAAAATTAATCTCAAAAACAAAATTAGCAAACCAAACCCCCATTCCAATCACTTAAATTACTAGCATTCATCACGATAGTCATTAATTTTACAAAAAATCCACTTTAGTCCCCAACTTTACAAAAGTCACTCATTTCTGTCATTTTAATTCTACTGTCCTTTTGCCCTAACAATAAACACCAAAGTGAGAATTCCGTAAAGTCTCAGAACTTATAATTTCAGATAGAAGGGAGGAATACACAAATTTGATAACACAAATAACCACACTCTTTGAGCTGAAGACATTATTAAATGGTCCAAGGCTACCATGTATCCATGATCCCATCCAGTTTTCACATGACATGGAATTTTCAACTGACAAGAAAAAGTTAAATTCAGTATGTGTTAAGTGATTGGAAAGGGACTATGATGATTCTCTGGATAATCTAATAATTTCCTCCACTACTGTTAAACCTTCCAGCGTATTAAATTAACACAACTCTATACAAATTTTTATGATACTAACATCGGTACAAAGTATCAATCAACTTTACTACTGATTGATTTCTGCCGACAAATCCGGCATGCCACATCTAGTTTCCCTCCAACCAATGACTTAAGGTCTCTCATTTCAACCACCCTCTTTTATGATTTCTTTTCATCAACGGGTCTCAAGTTTAAAAATCTTCATTAAGTAATCCGAATCTAGTTCCACTTTAACGGCATGAATCTCTATATAATATAATAACACTGCATCTTAAGAGCAATTTTACGTGCAAGATTTACTTTTAGGGGGTTGGTAAAATAACAGGAAAATGGACTATAGTGAAATTGAAGGGAAAAGAATGAAAAAGAGAAGGGGAAGACCTGTTGGGAGGAAACATCAGCAGTTCTGGGTTTGAGAAAGAGGTGAAAATGGGGAGGAAATGAACTGAGAACGGTGCAATCGGTTCCATACACGGCTTCCACTGCTTCAACTTCAGCCACCAATTCCTCTTCTTCTTCGTTTCCCATTCTCTGATTTTCCTTTTGGGTTCCAATTAGATTATGAGATGAAGTTCGAATTTGATTTTGATGTGATAGCCACAGATCAAAACATTGATTTGATCATCACCTTTATGGAGAAGGGTTTGGTCTTTGTGGTTTTCTTTGATTTTTTCTTTTTCATTTTCTAAAAAAACTTCAACATGATTTTAGCAAATTTGTCTTTTAGTTCTGAAAACAATTTATATTGTGTTTCATCAAATTTCAAATAAAACAAATTTGAAGTTTATTTTCTTCTACATATTTAACAGCGTTGTGTCTCTTTTTATCAAGTGATGCACAAAGATGAAATAATATATTTTTGAAAGATTAAATTTTACATATTTATTTAAAGGTTAAAGAAAATAATTAACATATTTATATATTTTAAAATATTACTTAAAAGTTATCTCATAATATTGGATAATTGAATTTAATAATCATGAAATTTAAAATGCTATAGAATAAAATATATTTATCTTTTATTTGCAGAGTTCCAACCGTGGAGAATGAGTTACATAAATGGGAAATGATATCTTACTACTCACTTGATGTTTAATATAATAATAAAATATTTAATTTTAAATGATAAAGTGCTATTTTGTAATTTTAAGTGGTTAAATATATATATATATATATATAGTATATATATCGATTGTTACATACCAAATGAATTAAACCAAATTAATAGTTGAAATTGGGATGAAAGTTACGAGTGTGTAACATGTTCGATTATCTAAGATAAGTAAAACAGGTTAATAATCATGTTTAATAGAATTAGATTATATTAGACTGATTCTTATAAGAAACACACGAAGAAATCTATAAATATAAATTAAATATATGGTTATTGAAACTTGTGATGACACATTTATTATAATATTAATTGTTAAATGATCGAACACTAAATTGACTTAAACATCAAAATATTGTTAATAGATACATCCTCATCGATTGAAGTATTTGAACAACAAGAGAGTTCAAGAGTAAGGAAAACTGCTTGAAGTGAACACTCAACCTCATACACCTAAAACATTTTGGTGTACACCATAGAGTCGAGCAAAAATTTTTAAGCTCACATTCTAACCACAAGAAATATGATGAGCAATCAAGCATAAGAGGAAATTGTTAACAACCAGATGGACTCGATGGAGATAATGAGGAGAATGTAGTGGCATATGGACGAAATGCAAAGGAAATACAAGGAGGAAATAAGGATGCCAAGACTAAGATCATTCAACAAGAGAAGGATGTCAAAGGTCTTATGTCGTCCAATGTATAGAAGAAAGGGACAAACAAAAAATCGTCAGGGGGAAAAGATAAACCGAAAAGCCCTCACTTTAGTAATTATACCCCTCTTAGTGTTCCACAAGCCAAGAAATTATAATAGGCCCTCAACATCAATTTGTTGCCGAGCGGAAAGGAGCCATCCTAGACGAAAGAGTTATACACGAAGCCTTAGGCGAGCTAAACATAAGCGGAGGAGAGAAACTTCTCAATGTAGAAGTAAATGCAAAAGTCGTAGCAAGAACCGCCTGTTAAGGGGTTATATAAACACGATCTCTGGAAGATTCACAGNTAACTAAGATAGACTCTAAATTGCATCCTAATATTTAAGATAATAAATTATTTGAATTGAAATAAAAAAACCATTAAAAAATATAATTATTTGAAAATATATATAGTTTACAATTTTTTAAAATTATGGATAAATAATCAAATAATGTTATTTTATTCCATGTTATATTTATCAAATAATTCAACAATTACTTTTCTTAAACATTGTAATTCAATCAACTAACATATTAGCATAAAGATTCAAACTTGATAACATTTTAAATTTAGCTTACTTTACAGCACTGAGCTAGCTTATCCACTAATTTTGTCAAACCCTTTATCTTCTAAAACTTAGGTAACCAAATATTACAAGACAAAGATATAAACAACTGCCGTTATCTAAACAAATATGTTGCTTAATTAATGATTTACCTACAAACTCAATGGAACTATAAGTTTAAAATAGTATTCTCATGAAATTTTAGGCTTATAGACCTCATATGACTAAATACAACCCCAAGGAAGCAAGGTACAAAGCAGCTTATCTTTCCTAAGGCACAATGAGGAAATCAATGCAGCAGACTACTGCAATCTGATGCATAACATGTGTACGTGATAGAGAGGAATGGGCCACAGGTAGTTTCAGGGGGAGTAGATGAAAAAGGGAGGGTAAGCTGGAGCTGGAACTAAATGAGTCACTCGAGTACAAGGAAGCATGCCCCCAAAGCAGTTGCGGAATATGGAGACCCTTGTTTGACAATAGAATATGTAATTCAAGGCAAGATTGTGCCCAATTTCTACTGTAACAGTATGGCTAGGTTGGCTACCTGAAGCTTCTCATACACCAGCCTAACTCCCTTATCCCGAGCTTAGTTATTCTGTACCACTGATTTGGTCTTATCATCAAGTCTCAAATCTGCCCATAAGTTTAAATTATTGGCCAAGAACCCAAAAACACTGACTGAGGTATCTCCTATCACTTTATTTTAAACTAACACAGATCTTCACCCTGTTTTTCAGAACTTTCCACATTTGCTATTAGCCTCATTACTTTAAAGCACTTAAATTCAAGATTCTTCCCCGATATCAAGGACTTGAGTGCATATAAAATTCATCTACTGATAAATATCACCAGATAAAAATAGTTTGGGGGAAAGGGACCTTATTTTTATTAAATCTTTTCATCTCAACCAGAACCAAAGCAAAAATGCAATCGAAGTAGATGCTATAGAGTTTACTAACTAAATGCTTAACAAACAAGGGACATATATGTATGGAGCAAAACCATCACTATTCTTGTTTTAAAATTTGCAGCTAGATCAATGATGCAATTGTTACCTCACAAAGAGCTACAAGCATTAAACAAGGGGAGATCTCACAGGCTTTACTTTGTATGTAATTTAATAGATGTTTCTGTCTCTGTTCATCCAGACCCTTGCAATCCACAAGCTCAATAGAAGGTGGTTCTTTTGGATACTACAACAAGAAACGAAACAAAAGTCAATTTTCTAAGTCACTTTACTACTTGTAAGGGAAACCCATTTAAAATACTAGGTGCATGTGTTTTACACTGTGCAGAAGTCAAACTCCCTCGAAGAAAACTACACAGTCCATACATATACAAAGTGAATGTGATACTTTACTCGGATCACATGCATATTTACAGCCAAAATGTACCTGTGAGGTAGCTTTTATCTCCAGAACAGCTTCCACAAACTGCAAAGAAAATGAACATAAGAAACTACTAAAAATCAGACACTTGCTCCAGTGGCAGAGCTCCACATCTAAAATCAACACCAACAGAATAAGGGGGATATAACTTTAAATCAACACCAACAATCATACACTTGTATTTAATTTTTAATACATCAGAAATCTAACTTGTTTTTACATTGTCATGTGTGTCCAATCACAGACAATCACGTGCAGTAAGATCACAGATTATTGTAACAACTACTTCAAAAGTCATACTTGTGATTTCTAACTGATTAACAATATAAAAATCTTTACACTGAAATTGCTTAAAATTAATCTCAAAAACAAAATTAGCAAACCAAACCCCCATTCCAATCACTTAAATTACTAGCATTCATCACGATAGTCATTAATTTTACAAAAAATCCACTTTAGTCCCCAACTTTACAAAAGTCACTCATTTCTGTCATTTTAATTCTACTGTCCTTTTGCCCTAACAATAAACACCAAAGTGAGAATTCCGTAAAGTCTCAGAACTTATAATTTCAGATAGAAGGGAGGAATACACAAATTTGATAACACAAATAACCACACTCTTTGAGCTGAAGACATTATTAAATGGTCCAAGGCTACCATGTATCCATGATCCCATCCAGTTTTCACATGACATGGAATTTTCAACTGACAAGAAAAAGTTAAATTCAGTATGTGTTAAGTGATTGGAAAGGGACTATGATGATTCTCTGGATAATCTAATAATTTCCTCCACTACTGTTAAACCTTCCAGCGTATTAAATTAACACAACTCTATACAAATTTTTATGATACTAACATCGGTACAAAGTATCAATCAACTTTACTACTGATTGATTTCTGCCGACAAATCCGGCATGCCACATCTAGTTTCCCTCCAACCAATGACTTAAGGTCTCTCATTTCAACCACCCTCTTTTATGATTTCTTTTCATCAACGGGTCTCAAGTTTAAAAATCTTCATTAAGTAATCCGAATCTAGTTCCACTTTAACGGCATGAATCTCTATATAATATAATAACACTGCATCTTAAGAGCAATTTTACGTGCAAGATTTACTTTTAGGGGGTTGGTAAAATAACAGGAAAATGGACTATAGTGAAATTGAAGGGAAAAGAATGAAAAAGAGAAGGGGAAGACCTGTTGGGAGGAAACATCAGCAGTTCTGGGTTTGAGAAAGAGGTGAAAATGGGGAGGAAATGAACTGAGAACGGTGCAATCGGTTCCATACACGGCTTCCACTGCTTCAACTTCAGCCACCAATTCCTCTTCTTCTTCGTTTCCCATTCTCTGATTTTCCTTTTGGGTTCCAATTAGATTATGAGATGAAGTTCGAATTTGATTTTGATGTGATAGCCACAGATCAAAACATTGATTTGATCATCACCTTTATGGAGAAGGGTTTGGTCTTTGTGGTTTTCTTTGATTTTTTCTTTTTCATTTTCTAAAAAAACTTCAACATGATTTTAGCAAATTTGTCTTTTAGTTCTGAAAACAATTTATATTGTGTTTCATCAAATTTCAAATAAAACAAATTTGAAGTTTATTTTCTTCTACATATTTAACAGCGTTGTGTCTCTTTTTATCAAGTGATGCACAAAGATGAAATAATATATTTTTGAAAGATTAAATTTTACATATTTATTTAAAGGTTAAAGAAAATAATTAACATATTTATATATTTTAAAATATTACTTAAAAGTTATCTCATAATATTGGATAATTGAATTTAATAATCATGAAATTTAAAATGCTATAGAATAAAATATATTTATCTTTTATTTGCAGAGTTCCAACCGTGGAGAATGAGTTACATAAATGGGAAATGATATCTTACTACTCACTTGATGTTTAATATAATAATAAAATATTTAATTTTAAATGATAAAGTGCTATTTTGTAATTTTAAGTGGTTAAATATATATATATATATATATATATATATATATATAGTATATATATCGATTGTTACATACCAAATGAATTAAACCAAATTAATAGTTGAAATTGGGATGAAAGTTACGAGTGTGTAACATGTTCGATTATCTAAGATAAGTAAAACAGGTTAATAATCATGTTTAATAGAATTAGATTATATTAGACTGATTCTTATAAGAAACACACGAAGAAATCTATAAATATAAATTAAATATATGGTTATTGAAACTTGTGATGACACATTTATTATAATATTAATTGTTAAATGATCGAACACTAAATTGACTTAAACATCAAAATATTGTTAATAGATACATCCTCATCGATTGAAGTATTTGAACAACAAGAGAGTTCAAGAGTAAGGAAAACTGCTTGAAGTGAACACTCAACCTCATACACCTAAAACATTTTGGTGTACACCATAGAGTCGAGCAAAAATTTTTAAGCTCACATTCTAACCACAAGAAATATGATGAGCAATCAAGCATAAGAGGAAATTGTTAACAACCAGATGGACTCGATGGAGATAATGAGGAGAATGTAGTGGCATATGGACGAAATGCAAAGGAAATACAAGGAGGAAATAAGGATGCCAAGACTAAGATCATTCAACAAGAGAAGGATGTCAAAGGTCTTATGTCGTCCAATGTATAGAAGAAAGGGACAAACAAAAAATCGTCAGGGGGAAAAGATAAACCGAAAAGCCCTCACTTTAGTAATTATACCCCTCTTAGTGTTCCACAAGCCAAGAAATTATAATAGGCCCTCAACATCAATTTGTTGCCGAGCGGAAAGGAGCCATCCTAGACGAAAGAGTTATACACGAAGCCTTAGGCGAGCTAAACATAAGCGGAGGAGAGAAACTTCTCAATGTAGAAGTAAATGCAAAAGTCGTAGCAAGAACCGCCTGTTAAGGGGTTATATAAACACGATCTCTGGAAGATTCACAGGTAGGGGATCATCGGTGTCAGCATGCAAAAGACATGTTAGAGCGCTCAAGTTGGTACACTTGGTGGAATGAAGGATCATGAGCATGTCGCCTATCACCTTCAACGACCAGGACTTCAAGTCATTATACCCCTATTAGGGTGATTTTATGATTATCTCCATCGAGTTGGCCGACTATGGGATCGGGAAGGTCCTAGTCGATCAGGGAAATTCAATCAATATCTTTACTATAAAACTTTCCAGAAGATGGATATATTTTAAGACCTGATTGTACCTTATAACGAGCAGATCGTCGGTTCCTTAGCGAGCAGTGGATACATGTGGGTACCTTATGAATTAGGACCAGATTAAGGAAGGATAGTAAAGAGGTTGAAGTATGTTAGTGTTGTCAAAACGACATGGCCCAGCCCCCCACGGGTTGGTCACTTAGTGAGTCAACCCAACTCAACTCATTTATTAGTGAGCTAGAAAAAATCGAACCGGCTCGACCCACCATGAGTTGGTGGGTTAAACGGGTTGGCTCACTAACTCACTTAATTACAATTTTTTTAAATAAAAGAAATTAAAATTACAAACTTTTTGTAATTTAAATCTAAATAAAGAGACGATTTGTCAAGCTTGATTTTGGTCGTAATGGTGTAGTATTTGTTCAAATGAGGAAGAAAGATGAAGATAGAAGCCCCAAGGATATAGTTCATTGGATAGTGACATCAACAACATCAACAAGGAAACATGTGTCTAGATTTATTTTGAAAATTTTGCCAATTGAAGTCTCATGTTACGCTTCGAAGGATGAAACTTCAAAAGCAATGAAGCCTCTTGTGGCACATTACTTCCCCGTAGAAACTCAAAATCCACACAAGTTTGTTGTACTGTATGAGGCTCAGGCGAATACAGGTGTTGACAGGATGGAAATCATTGATGTTGTGGAAAGGTCAGTTCCCCCTATAAAGTTAATCTAAAAATTCCTGATAAAACTATAGTAGTTGAAATTGTTGAGATTGTGTGCTTGATCGGGGTCATTGAGAAATACAAATAGTTTTCCAAATACAACCTAAGGTAGTTAACAACAACTAACCTAGGTTGGAAGTTGGGGATGATCAACAGTAAAGTGAGAGCACCATGAGAGCAAAACATATTTGCTAGAGTAACATGAGGTTTCTTTTTTGGTGTACAGTCACGGTGAGTTATGGGAGTATTTTTTTTATGGTTTCATAAGATAATAAATTAGTAAAATAAAGTTAAGTGGGTTGGTGAACCAACCTAGCTCACCACGGGTTCAGCTTGGATAAACTAGGTTTAAATGAACTCGGTTGAAATTCGACTTACATAAAAAAAGTACATTTTTCCAAACCTAATCCGACCCGAACCTGTGGTAGGCCTGGTTGGCTCGCAGGTTGTAACTCATTTTGATAGCTCTAAAGTATGTTACTTGTTGGTCGAGACCAACACGTCTTACAACGTGCTAATAAGATAACCATGCCTGAATGTGTTCTGCGTAATAATATCAACCCCGCATCTGGTCATGAAGTTTCCTTTAGATAAAAGAGGAATTGGCCCCATACACGTCGATCAACAAATTGCCCGAGAATGCTACACTACAAGGTTAATATATGGTGTCTTATCAATTATCAAGGAAGGCCAGATGATCATAGGTGGCAATGTCTTACCTGGACCCCGTACCAATATAGATGACCAAATGGAGCATCTTAAGGAAACAAAGGACTTCAAGATAGGTCAATTAAACAACCAAGTCACCAATCTCAATAGTGTCTTAAGCCGAGAGCATAAGCAAAAATTAGTGAAGGTGCTCCTAGAGAACAAAAACTTGTATGCATGAACATCAACTGATATGTTACCCAGGGGTAATGTTGCATCATTTGACTATCTCCAAGGAGGCTAGGCTGATCGCTTAGAAGAAGCATAAGTTTGGAGATGAAAGGAGGAAGATGGTGGAGACCAAGGTGAAAAAGTTGTGGGAGACGGACCTTATCAAGGAGGTAAAATACACTACATGACTTGCTAATATGGTGTTGGTGAAGAAGTTGAGCAACTAAAGAGAAATGTGCACAAACTTCATCGATCCAAACAAGACATTTCCTAAAGACACGTACCCCTCCCCAACAACGAAGTGTTCAGTCCACCATGTATTAAGCTTCATGTATGTGTACTTAAGATATAACCATATACTAATGTACCAATCTGACAAAGAGAATACCACATTCATCACCAAATGGACAAATTACTGCTATGAGATAATGTCATCTGAATGCGAGACTCCTGATTACTACTCATATGATTAAATTGACCAAAACATATTTGACATAAAATTATAATGTTATATTATAACTTTTTTAATACATTTTAGTCTCTAAATTTTACAAATAAATGGATATAATTTTATAACTTAATTACATTAATTATTTTAAAACTTATTAATCAATATTTCAAACAACCTAAACAACTTAAACACCAATGTTTTAAATATTTGATAAGTTAGAAAAAAAATTAATTTAATATAATTAGAGTATAAGTTTGTAAAAAAAAATATTTAATGGAGTGAACTTAACTTTTAATTTTGAAAAGATATTTTATGGCCACCCAAGCTTAGGTGTAGTAACGGTTTTGTTCTTCGGTTCTATTTTCAAATATTAATTTTGGAGAACAGGTACTGCTAATGGAACGAAAAGCTTAAACTTGATAAACCCTATCTTATCCCCCATTTGTGGAACAACCACCCGTGGTCGCGCCATGGGAATCCTCGCTTTGCCCTTAGTCATTTCCCTTCTCAAACCCAACGCCACCACTCGCCTCCGCCTTTCCCACTCCCTCCTCCGCCGCCGCCACTTCGCCACCACCGTCTCCGCCACCACCACTCCTCATTCTCCTTCTTCACCGTCACCTTCACCTTCACCTTCTCTCTCACGCCACTCTTCTGCTTCAACTCACTCTGACAATCGTTCCGTTAACCCCCCAAGCCTCACCTTCCAACAAGCCATTCAGCGCCTTCAGGTATTTGCATCAACAGAATCACATTATCCTTCAGTTTTTTTCTTTTAAATTTATTATGAAGATTGTTCAATGGTTCAATTATTTTATCTTGTTTGGGAAATTGCAGGAATACTGGGCCTCTGTTGGATGTTCCATAATGCAATGTAGCAACACAGAGGTAGTTAAACTAGCTTGCTGCATTTTTTACTCACCATTTGCTTCAATTATCTTATAAACCCACCGATGCTATTTTATTGAGTATATTATAATGACATCGCCTGAGTTTTTTTTTCTTGAGATTGGACATGGCACCTCTCCTCTTTCTATCCTTACACTGACACAGACACCTCACATAACATTACATTAACGTTTTTTAATTGTTTAACAAACATTGCATCCTGTACCCGATGAAGGAGGTTATTGTGAATGTTAAAGAAGGAGGGGTCACGTGCATCTCAAAAAACCTCAGGAGTGTTAGTGTAATTTACTCTATATTTCTTAGTCCAATTTCTGTGAATTGTATGTCGAAAAACTTTTACATTCATAATCAATAGGAAAACATGTTAGGTATGACTTTTAAGTTATTAAGTAGTGTAAGTCAACTAATTTGTACATACACGGCAATATGTAATTGGATGATAGTGTATAAACTCTTCACTCTGTCAATGACTCAATGCACTTTCTCTTATCATATAATATTATTATTGTTGTTGTTGTTAATACTTTTAGGGTTGGCTTCAAGTAGTGAGGTTCAGTTTGAACTTGGAATGTGCTTTGAATCTTCTTTGATACCATTTTTTTTTTCNTTCTATCCTTACACTGACACAGACACCTCACATAACATTACATTAACGTTTTTTAATTGTTTAACAAACATTGCATCCTGTACCCGATGAAGGAGGTTATTGTGAATGTTAAAGAAGGAGGGGTCACGTGCATCTCAAAAAACCTCAGGAGTGTTAGTGTAATTTACTCTATATTTCTTAGTCCAATTTCTGTGAATTGTATGTCGAAAAACTTTTACATTCATAATCAATAGGAAAACATGTTAGGTATGACTTTTAAGTTATTAAGTAGTGTAAGTCAACTAATTTGTACATACACGGCAATATGTAATTGGATGATAGTGTATAAACTCTTCACTCTGTCAATGACTCAATGCACTTTCTCTTATCATATAATATTATTATTGTTGTTGTTGTTAATACTTTTAGGGTTGGCTTCAAGTAGTGAGGTTCAGTTTGAACTTGGAATGTGCTTTGAATCTTCTTTGATACCATTTTTTTTTTTTCATTTTGCTGTATTGAGCAGGTTGGAGCTGGGACTATGAATCCTCTTACGTATTTAAGGGTTCTTGGCCCTGAACCATGGAATGTCGCGTAAGTATGTTTTAGATGTAAGTTATTGCTTTATGCGTTGGTTTCTAAAATATCCATTTTGTTTGATCAATGAAATTTTTGTAATGTTTTTGAAATTAATGAATTTATCTTTTCCTTAATGAAAAGAAGTTAGTAGTGGCATGTCCTTCCCTTCCCTGAAGCAGCAAATATTATGATTACCGAGTTCTGTTGTTGTATTCTACTAGAAGTGTGTTTTATTTTTTCAGAAAATACGTATGATTTTAAGTATACTTGTGTTGAGTGGAAGCTATTTGTTCTTGTACCATCAGTTGGGCTGTGACCGATCTATGTCGAGCTATGTTGTTGGGCTTGGGATGGAGTGTCTATTTTTACATAGGAGGCATAGTGGTTTTATGAACTTAGGATTGAAGTATTTGTGTTTAGTAAGCTTGAGACTGGGGGGCTGTGTTCCTTCCCTCGGCTGTGATTGATCTATGTCGAGCTATGTGATCAGTCTTAGAATGGAGTCTTTATTTAGGTCTCTGCAACTAGTTAACTCAAAACTGAGGGTTTGTGTACCCTCTAGTAGATTATTATTACTGATTTTATTTAGCATGAATGATCAGTCATGGAGTGAGGTATCCTGAACTAACTTAGTCTGGTCTGACATTGAGGTTATTGAAATCAGCTGTGGCTATTACCAAATATGTAATGTTTAATTTCTGGACATTACAAATTCCCTCCCCGTTTAGTCGGAATATCTAGGTACCAAAATGACAACAAATTAACAGCTTGATTATGTGGATAATATACTGCAACAACTTGAGTACTGATGGCAACCAGTTTTCTATAAATAAGCCTGGAATTATCATGTGAAAGGGACACTTTTATGTTTCTGAACAAGAAACCTAGCCAAGAACTCCCTCACACTCTCTCAAAACAGTAGATAGGAAAGAATGAAATGAATCTGTATTATTCACAGTAAGAAATTGTCTATACAAGCACAATCCAGGGGCATAATCCCCTTCACAGGTCTAATGAACCTGTCTACAATCAATATCCCAAAACTCCCCTCTCTACCAGACCCCTCTTGCCTTCTTATAAAGGCAACCCACTTCTAACTACCCAACAACAATTAATTCCTAAACTGAACAATTAATTCCTAAACTGTTTTCTCTCTCCTACACACCTATTACCCATTATAACCTATCATATTATATCCTATCAGACACACTTGAATGATCTAGTTAAGACCTCAAAAGATTTTGACTAGAACATTTCTTAATACTTATTTATTAATATTCGTTAATTTTATTTGAGTATGAATGCAGAGTGCGAGGAGGGTTTTGAATCTGAAATCAATGGTGTTTTTTTTTATTTTTTTGATGTTAGGTATGTGGAACCTAGCATCCGCCCCGATGATAGTCGATATGGAGAAAACCCAAATAGGCTCCAAAGACATACTCAATTTCAGGTCAAGTTTGATGACATGGTCAAATTCATACACTTATAGTTAAGCTTGTTTATCTTGAATGACTTGTGTTCATTTCTAGCATTGAATTCTTGGTTGTTTTATGATCTCAGGTGATATTGAAGCCTGATCCTGGAAATTCTCAGGATCTATTTATCCGCAGCCTCTCTGCTTTAGGTTGTAACTGAGTCTGATATTCTTTGATTCACTTGAAATAGATTGTATTTTTTTGTTCAGCTGTTGACTTATGAGCATTAAGCATACACATAGAAAACTCGGATGACAATGAAAGAGAAACTTACAAAAGAAGTAAGAAAACTTTGTTTTAAGAAAACTAAGAGGCTTTGGTGGGAACAAAAACATGTTCCTTTCTATTTATTATGATTTCGGGCTGATGTTTCACTAGTTATTTCAATTTCTTAAGCTTGTCGAGAGTGCACAGGCGTTATTAGTTTTTATATCATAGATGTCTTTGCGTCTTTGGCCTCTTCAGTGTACATTCTAAAATTACTAAAGGTGATATTCTATTTGGATTTAGGATTTGTGTTTTTGGAGCTTGTGACTTTAGGTTAGAAGGGATAGTTCGTGATGGGGGTTAGGGTGAGTTTGTTGATGTTTATTGACTGTAAGAATTTCAGTGTAGATTCATTTACATAGTTGGCACTAGTTAGAATATTACTTAAGTATAGGTCTTAATGTTGTAAATGGTGGCCGATTAGCTATGTATTACTAATTATCTCTTGTTTAACATGATGCACTCATAATACTTCTATAAACACTTATTCTGCAAGACAAAAAAGGCAGGGGAGATAAATGATCTCCTTGTCTATCATCTCTAGAGCACGTGAAGTACCCATTTGGCCTGTTATTTATCAACACTGAAAGTTTATTAGATATACTATTAACAGAACCAATTACAAGAATATCATTGAAATCTCATGTGCTTTTATCTTATAGATAAATTATTTTTATTACATCTGTTTTACTTTGAATTTTCATATATTCTATTAATCTTACATTATACCTTTTGATATTTCTATTCAAATTTAAAATAAAGTAAAACAACATATTTTTAAATAGACATAATAACACTTTCATTATGTTAATTAATGTAATAGTTGAAATATCTTGAAGTATATTGCTAAAAATAATATAATAGTCATGGTAAAAACAGACAATGTATTATGCAAAATATTTAAAATTAATAAAAATAGAACAAAATATCATCTATCAATATCAATGTCTCAAATTATAATCTACCACCTCAAATTAACAAATATTTTACCTTTGCGAATGCTTTAAAGCTTAAAAATAAGTAAAATCCTACTTTATCTTAAAAAAGGTAAAAATAATGAAGTCATGTCTTATGAATGAATGAAGAAAAAAGTGTAATAAATTCATTCATGTCTTATACAAAAAAGAGTAAAGAGAAAATTTAATAAATATTTTTAAGTACAAAATGGGAATAAATGTAAAAAGTTTGAAGTTAGTTTTTTGAAAAACGTGTCATCAAGTAGCATTTCAAAAAATGCTACAAGCTACTAAAAATAGCTTATTTACCAAACATTACTAATAAGGTCAAACAAAGTACAAAAGGCTAGAATCTAGTTGAAGTGATGCCAAACATGATCCTTGTTAATGGGAAAACCTGTGTTATGTGTCTTGTACTGAAATTGGGTAAAACCAGATATTTTTTGGGTAACAAAATGCAGAATTCAGTGTGCTTACTCTTGAGTTTAACACCTCTGTTCTTTCTAATCCCAATAAGGGAGGTGAAAATGGTCTTACTGCTTCACTGTATACGCCTCTTGAAATTAAGTTACTGATATTCCTTAACCATTGCAAATAAGGTGAAAGAAGTTTAGATTAATTAGCTACTAAAAACGAGATAACAGTTTGAAATTTGTGCAGTTCTTATTATACCCTATTTTATCCATTTTCCACTTTAAAAACTCTGAATATGAACTTGTGGAGTGCATAAATCTTTGATAGGTATTGATGTTACTGCACATGATATACGATTTGTGGAAGATAACTGGGAGAGTCCGGTAATATTATTGTTTTGATGCTGCTTACTTAAAGGAAATTTAAACTTTTTTTTTTTTTACCTTTTTGTGTGTTTTAAATCTAATTAACTTGTGATGCCATCCATATGGGAATTGAAAATGTATATAGGTTCTTGGTGCTTGGGGTTTGGGCTGGGAAATTTGGATGGATGGTATGGAGATTACGCAATTCACCTACTTTCAGCAGGTATGTTTTTCTTGCCATGACAGAATTTTTATTATTATTTTGTAACGGAGAAGAAAAATTTTAAGAGAGAAGAATATTCTGCTAAAGAGACACGGGCTTTTTTCTATTAAAAGAGGGGAAGAAAACAGATATTTTATTTTCGGTCATTTTCCATTATACAACCTTTGAATGCTTTTTTCTTTTATTGGAACAAAAAAGATATGCCAATTTACTTTCATGATCTCAACTCTCTCTCCCTCCAGGCCGGAAGTCTCCAGTTATCACCTGTATCTGTGGAAATTACTTATGGCCTTGAGCGTATCCTTATGTTACTGCAAGTAAGTTGGCTAATTTTCTTTTTCTTCAACCAATCTCTATCACCCATTAAATTAATTAAGTTTCATAAATTTTGTGATAGGGGGTTGATCACTTCAAGAAAATAAAGTATTCTGATGGAATTACATATGGAGAGTTGTTCTTGGAGAATGAGTACTTGATCACTCTATCCACTGGCTTTTGAATTGCATTTCATTTTATTTATTGTAGTGAAATATTTTGGAGATATCATAAAAAAGTAAATCGTTCCTTTTTATTTGTTATATTTTATTTTACATTTTTTCTTATACCATATTCTTAGAAAGTAAAATTTAAGCTTGCTAAGATAAGGTTTGCGCCACTTATGTATTATAATTTGATCGTATCTCTAGTTGATGTAGGATCTCCAACACACTCACTCACGTTGAGTACAAGACATCTTGAGCATGGGAGTAGAGGGGGTTGATAGTGGGTGGAATGATAGGTCTGATAAATCTCATTAGGATATACTCTTGTAGGTTTTGATACCTTTTTAGAAAGTGGACTTTAAGTTTAACTTAATTTCAAAAAATTAGCTTAAGGTGAGGTTTGCATCCTTCTCTTGTTTAGTATAGTTTGGTCATATCTTTAGTCAATGTAAGATCTCTAACACACTCTCTCTCATTGAGGACTTGATAACTCGAGCTTGGGAATAGAGGGGACTTAAGAGGGGTGATATGATAAACTTAACAAACTTTGTTAGGATAAATTCTAATATCAATTTAGAGAGTGAACTTTAAGTTATGCTTAACCTCACAAATTTGACTTGTAAGATGAGATGTTCATCAACTTATATATTTATAATTTCTTCATATTTTTAGTTGATATGAGATCTTTAACACATCAAAAACATTTTGATGAGGGAAAAATGCTTCTGGTTAGATGGCCATTTTCTTGGGTTGAATTGAGTGGGAAATTTAAAGAAGGTCAAGGAAAGTTAAAAGGACAGTTGAAATGCTATAAAGTAGGAAAGTACTTTTTTCAACTAAGAGTTCATGTTTTGAAATGAGAGTTCCGAGAAGGACAAAACATCCTAGTAAGACAATCAAAGTACTGGAAGACAAGTAAAACAAAGTTGAACACATTAGGTCAAAAGACTTATAGTTTGGGAATGGAAGAAGAGAGGAATACAAGTGAAAAAGGCAAATCCTGCATTAACGACCTAGGACATCTTTCTCAATTTTGTAGTTCCCCACTTATTATAATTGGGAAAACAGAGAAAAACAATTGAACTGTGTTATGCTTCCTCTTTCATATTCCTCATCTTAATTATTTCATTTTTCACTGAAGAACAACAGAGTTTTGGTTGTACAATGGATGAATGCAAATGCCTTGTTCTGGAACAGCCTTTGCCAAAGTGCTTAGAAAGATACAGGAAGATTGGAATAGAAACCCCAGTAATTGGATAGATGAAAATATTGAAGACTCTGGCAAGGGTTCACTAAACTTGAGCATTAGGTAATATATTGGGGTATCACAAAATGTTAAGATCTCTTGTAAAAAATTGGGGATGGATACAAATTGTTTATCAGCCATGAAATAGATGTGAGAGGTGCTTAGTAGATAATTCTGATTTAAGATGATTAAAGTATATTAATTTTAGATGCCATGTTGATACATGAGCCATTCTAGTGGTTGTTCATCCTAAATTATGAATACTGGTTATCCTAACTATCGGGAAAAAAATTAGGCGATAGGCACCCAATGTCTAGCAAAGGAAAAAGTTAAGCATGGTTTTCTTGTTTCCCTTTTTGTGAGTGTCCCCCTTTTTTTGTTACAATCTCCTCCTCCTCATTGATATATTTGTATTCTTTTAAATAAAAAATTATGACATTTAAACAACTATCACACTCAATCTTCCAAGAATATTGTCCTCCTCAGTGTATGTGATTTTGACTTTGGTTATGCAAAATGGGTTGTTTTAATGTTTTTCATTACGCATACATTTCATTGCAGTTGATCTTTATAAATTCTTATAAAGTTGAATTTTGAAATAATGCACAATTATATCATATTTCAATTTGAATTTTGTTAGAGAGATTAATGATGTCAATTTATATGATTTCTTGAATTTGGCTTGGCATAACTCAACCAGAAGCTCTATTTTGATGATACTTATAGCCAATAGTGGATCTCAACATTTATAATCTACAAAACTCAGTTTTTTTCATTTTTATTTTTATTCTTATGGGTCTCTAATTTGTCTTTTAGTAATATTGACTTTGTTGTTAATTAGTGGTGACGATACTTTTTCTCCTTTCTAGGAAGGAAATGAGTGCATACTACTTGGAGCATGCTAGTGTTGATCACGTTCAAAAACATTTTGATTTCTTTGAGGAGGAAGCTCGTAGCTTACTTTCTTCTGGCTTTGCAATCCCTGCGTATGTTTATGACTTAAATATTCTATTTATTGGATTTCTTTCCTCTCATTATCTATTCAATATGCTTTCTGTTTCTTCTGTCTCTGCTTCTGATGTATATTTTACCACTACATGCTAGGTATGATCAGCTTCTGAAAACATCTCATGCTTTTAATATCCTAGACTCCAGAGGCTTTGTTGGAGTAACAGAGCGTGCTCGCTATTTTGGTCGCATGCGTAGGTAGTGCTTGTTGCCTGACTTGTGAACCATCTATATATATTTGTATCACTTTGGTAGTTTGGTAAAGTCATAATCACAATTGAAAATTAATCCTTGAGATTGTCTAGATATTGTCNAAGATGATTAAAGTATATTAATTTTAGATGCCATGTTGATACATGAGCCATTCTAGTGGTTGTTCATCCTAAATTATGAATACTGGTTATCCTAACTATCGGGAAAAAAATTAGGCGATAGGCACCCAATGTCTAGCAAAGGAAAAAGTTAAGCATGGTTTTCTTGTTTCCCTTTTTGTGAGTGTCCCCCTTTTTTTGTTACAATCTCCTCCTCCTCATTGATATATTTGTATTCTTTTAAATAAAAAATTATGACATTTAAACAACTATCACACTCAATCTTCCAAGAATATTGTCCTCCTCAGTGTATGTGATTTTGACTTTGGTTATGCAAAATGGGTTGTTTTAATGTTTTTCATTACGCATACATTTCATTGCAGTTGATCTTTATAAATTCTTATAAAGTTGAATTTTGAAATAATGCACAATTATATCATATTTCAATTTGAATTTTGTTAGAGAGATTAATGATGTCAATTTATATGATTTCTTGAATTTGGCTTGGCATAACTCAACCAGAAGCTCTATTTTGATGATACTTATAGCCAATAGTGGATCTCAACATTTATAATCTACAAAACTCAGTTTTTTTCATTTTTATTTTTATTCTTATGGGTCTCTAATTTGTCTTTTAGTAATATTGACTTTGTTGTTAATTAGTGGTGACGATACTTTTTCTCCTTTCTAGGAAGGAAATGAGTGCATACTACTTGGAGCATGCTAGTGTTGATCACGTTCAAAAACATTTTGATTTCTTTGAGGAGGAAGCTCGTAGCTTACTTTCTTCTGGCTTTGCAATCCCTGCGTATGTTTATGACTTAAATATTCTATTTATTGGATTTCTTTCCTCTCATTATCTATTCAATATGCTTTCTGTTTCTTCTGTCTCTGCTTCTGATGTATATTTTACCACTACATGCTAGGTATGATCAGCTTCTGAAAACATCTCATGCTTTTAATATCCTAGACTCCAGAGGCTTTGTTGGAGTAACAGAGCGTGCTCGCTATTTTGGTCGCATGCGTAGGTAGTGCTTGTTGCCTGACTTGTGAACCATCTATATATATTTGTATCACTTTGGTAGTTTGGTAAAGTCATAATCACAATTGAAAATTAATCCTTGAGATTGTCTAGATATTGTCCTGTGAAAATCTCTCTGATCAAAAGTTGGATATATTGGTGATATTTTGTCCAAAGTTCTTGTCTTTAGTGTTATCATCTATGGTATTCTTATTCAAATGCTGTGACAATTCCGTTCTTGACCTTTTTTTTGTCTAGTGCAAAATATTCATCACATATCAATCATATTTGGAAATATAGGATTCATGAACTTTGAGGCTTTTTGTCTTGTCTCCAAAATAAGAAATTTTGGAAGAGTTATTTTTTTATGGGCCAGACTTGTACACTTTTGATATAGACAAGATTGAAAGTACACATAGTTATGATGAAAATACTGTGTTATTTCATCTGTGGATACATGTATTTGCCTGATTTGAATTTAGGAAAGTGAAGAACTGATCCCAATTCCATTACGATCTCTGGATTCTTCATCAGCCCATATTGCTCTTGAAAGAATACCCATTGTTACAAAGATAAAACTTAGACTAGTAACATAACTGCAACTATTCAATTGTTGAACAAATAGAAGAAAAACAAGTTTTTTTGTCAAACATCTTTCTTTCATTTATGTATTTCATTTCAGCAGATGAAAATGACACATTTTTTTATTTATAAAACTTATGTTAGGCATCACTATGATCCTTGGCATCATTTGTCAAACATCTCATTTAATAAAAACTACAAATTTTTGCTTAACTGAATTGAATCATGAAATAGGTAATGTCGTGTATGTGAGAGTCCTTGCTCTCTCCCTCTTCCATACCTCCCCATTTGTTGTCTTTCCCTTTCTCCTTTTATATTTGTTGAATTACAAGGTTTTCAAGGGAGAGGAGAGAGGAGAAAAGAAAAACACATTATCCTTGAATTATTAATATGATTTCCTACAACGATCTTGTGTAAAAGACTAAGCCGCTAATCCTCTTGATACTAAGTAATAGCCTCCTAATTCTACTTAAAGAAAAAGAAGCAAATCGTTATAATTACTAAAAGTATGAACATTAATCCTAGGAGATTATATTCTAGGATAATAAAACCGATCTTTAGGCACAATTTAAGATACTCTAAGGTAACAAACTAATCCTACGAAATAATATAAGTAATAAATTAAAAATATTTTCTTAATACTCTAACTTCACACAGGAGGAATTTTCCATCCTTATTGTTCCACTTTATTGCCTCACTCTCAGGAAATCTGTAACATTAACCATTCCCTCCTATTATCTCAACTCCCCGTCACCTTTCTTGCTATCAGTTACATCAACTGTGAACCATTCTGTTACTGAGAGGAGCAGATCCTATGCACTCCTTCCTATTATTAAACTTGGCTTCCTGATGGATTCATGCTACTCTTGCATAGTAATAATTATACACTATTTTGTAGTTTAAAACACACTATCAGGGAGTACAATGATCATCTAGTTAAGTTATTCTATAACACTTTA